GAAAATGGTTAAAAATTATTCCAAATTAAATTTATATATTATTATGATCAAGTACAATGCTGAGTTAATGGTAAACACCATAAAGATAATATAATCTATTTCCTTTACAATACATAAAAAATAAACTAATACTTTTTTTTTTCTCTTACACAAATTACAATAAAATTGCTCTGTATCTAAATTTTATACGATTTGATTGCGATTAGCTAGAGCTCTTTTGGTTGGCGCAATAGTCACGAGATTAAACAAATCGTATCTACTTGTTATTGGCTGGAAGCTTGTCTTTCGTAATTATTTTCTCCCTTTCAAATTTTCTTCCTCTTTCAAAATGCATTTTTCGCTTAATGTTTATTGGCATGCCAGGTTTGAACGTTTGAATAGACAAGGGATGATTATATCAGCGATGGTAATTAAAGTGACATAATATACATAATGAATAAAATATGTGAAGAATAAAGGTGCTTGTAGTTTATTTAAAAATTGTTCAAAATCCCAATAATGCACATTGCACCGACGGAACGCTGGCTGCAAAAGTGGATGCCAAATAAATAATTGTTCATTTGAGTGAGATCTATAAAATTTGAAAATATTAGCAGGTTTAAAATTTTTAAAACAGTATCTGGTGGATTTTATTATTTTCATAGTTAAAAGGAGGCAGGAACATGGGCATTTGCCCTCCACATTTACCAAAAAAAAAAAAGGAGGCAGGAACATTTCTATACATTTTTTTTTTGTTAACAAGTATAAAAAATTTGTTTATTGCATTTTTATTTCCAAACTCTTTTGATTATCAGATCATAGACAAGGCAAAAAATCTTCCTACTTTTGGCAATAAATATCTTGTTTACAAATATTGTATTTTTTTTTTAAATGTGGTGTACAAAAAAAAGCTTCTCGTTGATTCTGTTTCTTTCTTTCTTTACTACTTGTATTGCAGTGAAATGTCAATTAAAGAATACCATGGTGGGGGAGAACATTTCCCTTCGGTTTCATTAAGCATTTTGGCAAACTTTGCCTTATCTCTCGGGAAAGGCTAAACAATCGAAAATTCTCAAACTTTTTGGCATAAAAACTATAACAAAGGGAATAAGAGACAGCAAATCTCTTTATACGAAGAATCCCCTTTCAATTGAGAAAAAAAGAAGAAGATAGAAAAGTAATTTTATACTTTTATCAAACTAAGCCGAGCCAAGTCGATAGAGCACGCAATTAAGTGGCTCCCTTTAATGGCTGGCTCCAAAACGACGTCGTTAGTTATAGAAAACAGAATGCGCGCATGCCGTTGGGTGGTCGAAGGGCACAGGGCAGGCCACAACAAGTAACAACCACCACGTCACACCGCACACCGTACATAAACAACAAAAGCACTGTCTCACTCTCACATCACATGTAATGTAAGGGATGTTAACATGTTCAAATCAAAACGAGGGTGCTTTTACCTTAGTCCCTGTGACCCACACTCACCTTCCCTTCCTAATTAAGCTGTTGAGTGCCAACCAACAATAGAGGTTCTCACCGGTCCCCATCACCACACCACTCAGCTTCAAGCCTCCATTTGTTCATTCATGGTGGACCTAAATAATGGTTCTATGGCCAAAGGGTCCCACACACGTGGGACATGCCTTTTTTCTAGCTTATTCCTCCATGTAATTTATTTTGGCCTTGGCCTTGCCAACTTCACTTACTAAATGCCAATTTAGCCATCACACTTTTTTTTTTAGTACATGCCATCACACTTTCAACTCTATGGATCTTTTTTTTTTCTTTTATTGTTTAATTTAAAAAGTGGTTCCAATGGCCGAGCTAAAAAATTTATAGAGGGGCGAAATTATAGAAATAATACTTAAAGGTTTCTCTAGATTTTAAAAGAGGAGGAGCATTAAATATATATGACCAAATAATTACAAATTAATTCACTCCAAAAAATTTATATAAATTTAAAGGGTATGAACCATTATTGTAAAAATCGGACCGGACTAGCCGGGTTGACCCGGAACTCGGTGAACCGGTCATCTGACAGGTCCGGTTATCACATTGGATCGATCAAGTATCAGATCCGGTACGACCCGGTGTGACCCGGCCGGTTAACTGGTGACTCGACCCGGGTTTTAAAAAAAAACAAAAAAAAAAAATTCTAAAAAAATAAATCATAATTGACATATTTGAGTGATCTGTTACTTATTAACTTACATTAAGTATGTACCTACAATACTAATATTATCTCAGTTATGCACTATGCAGGAAATTTTGATTTGATAGTTAGAAATGTCGTTTATCGAACCTGAAACACCAATATAACAAACATTATGTGTTTGTTTGATCCTTTATTGAACAATAATGTATAATTTATTATTTTTTATATTAAAATATTTAGAATTTATATTATTATTTTTTAGCTATTTGAGTATATTTATAATTTTTTTAATATAAATTATAGATTTATATATAATCATCGGATCATGCCATTAAACCAGTGATCCAGTGACTCGATACTTCGACCGAATCATTAACCGGACCGATTTTAATAATATTGGTACGAACACCTCAGCTAGCTCCTCCTGCCTCTACCAATGGCACTTAGTTGTAAGAAAAAATAATCTCAAGAAATGGAATTTTCTCTATCAGCATTGAATTGTAATCAAAAGGCAAATAGTCATAATCGAAAATCATGATGTCTTAACAAAGTATTGCGAAGGACATGCATTAATTTGTTACGTTCAGATTCAACTTCAGGCCATGCCTGCATAAACAAGAATAAAACCAGAAGCTATGATTATATTAATTAGCTCTTTTTTTATTTGGCATTTCTCATGACGCACTTCAATATTGATTACCAAAAATAATATTTTTTCTTGCCATTTGTGGCCATTTTACTCTCAGACATAGACCAATCAAGTAAGATTTATAGGGTGAAGATGTCCTATATATTGGTTTGAATGGCCATTTAATCATAATGAGTCATAATGTTGATTGGTTTATGAGTACCCTAACAGTAAATTGTCTCTTTTTTACGACCCCTCATGTTTTGGATGTTACAATGCTTGATTGGGCATGTGTTTTTGACATGATTCTAGGAGCTCGAGCCTCATAGAATCCAAGTCCTGTTTGGTCTATATGGTACATTGTCTCCCAGACCCGTTAGCTCAATGCATGAGTTTCTAAGGTTTAATTTAAACTTGGATTTCATTCATTGGATCTAAGATTTATCCGGCCCACACGTCACACATAAAGGCAAATTTTCACTTGGCAGGTCATTTATGAATTTGTTTTCATGAAAACCAACGATATACTTTATAAGGAGAAACGTTAAGGTTCATTAATGGGAATTAAACGTTTGATTTTGTATCTTCATTGGGGGCAATATAATTCATATCCCATGATATAAGGGTATTCAGGCCGATATTTTTTTAGTAGAAGAGGCTATTTATTCTTTAAAATATTAAAAAGTCGAGAATATGTATTCAGAATCCAAAAAATGTTTAACATGGCGAAAATGTAAAAAAGAAAAGAAAAGAAAAAGGCAATTGGTCTTTTCATTTTTTATAACAAACAAAAAGATGATTGAATTTGACAGTTCACGACATAAAATTACAAAAAAAGTACTACTAAAACAAAAAAAATGTTTCGTTATCGTTATGCAATACTTCCCTTTTTATGCTCACGCATCAAATATATTGATTTAATATAAGAATTTATTGAAGTTCAAGATCAAAAGAACATAACATGTAATTTAGAAACTTACGACTTAAAATGATTAAATTAAAATAAGAGTAAAATTTCTGTTACTAATCACAATGTAAAAAAAAGAACATTCAATTCGTAAAACATCTGCACGAGGGTCCACATAAGTAATTTCGATGGCCTTGGGCTCCAAGGCTCAAACTTCCATCTTGGTGATGCTTCCATTGTGTCTTTCTCTCTGCCTCGTAAACTTTATACATGGTTAGGTCCAAAATAGACGCAGTGAGATCAGCCAGCCAAAACTCGATCTTTGAGAGATGTTACTGTGTTTTGGATTCTTTTTAAAACAAAATGCTAAGCTTACCCAACTGTTTTTTCTACAATGATACATGGAATAAGAATGAAGTTATGGGATTGTGCTAATTGTTCAAGCCAGCTAACCAATTTTATTTCCTAATGTATAATAAAAAAAATTAAGTTAAAAACTAATAAATTCCTTTAATTATGGATCAATTAAAAAAAACCTAACATTTTAACTAAAAAATTATACACGAAAAAAGAACATTTCTATTTTTTAAAAACAAAAACAACCTCATTGAATTTTTAATAAATAAAATAAAATAACTCAAAACTAACATATTTAAATAAATAGTTTATATATGCAAATTATAATTACGTTGATTGTTTGTAGAGAAAAATATTTATCATTTTAAATAACATAATTTTGTGTCATTTTTAATGAAATTATGTCATTTCGATATGTATTTGCATTCTCTCTCTTTCACTTTATTTTTCTTCCTGATTTTATAATAAAAAAATACTGAAAACACACCAAAACAACATGACGTAATTTCATTAAAAATGACATAAAATTATGTCAGTTAAAATAATAAATACTTTTTCCTTGTTATATACTAATAATAGTTAATACTTAAATAACATTAAAAGCATGGACTGAAATGGAAGGCAATAATAGTCATAAAATGCACATTCAATGATATAAATATATAGTAGTACGCTGTCATCAACAAGCTGACAAATATAATCAAATTATAATGCTAATATTCGGTGACACAATACGTCAACTTTTCCCTAATCATACAGTTTTTCCTATATCATTATTTATTTATTATCTTATACTTAGTATGTTTTTTTCTAAAAATAAAATAAGAATTTGATGGTAGGCTCGTCCAATGGTGTGTGATAGCGCCACGTTAAGTGGGGAAGGAACCTGTAGGGAAGAGGCACACCATTGCATAATAAGGAAGTGCGAGGAGCTTCGTATACATACACATATATTTAATCTCAGTCTTAAACCCCTTTCTCTCATTGTTTTTTGTGACCATTTTTTTCATTCCAAAGTGTGACAAACTCAAAACCAAAACCAAAACCAAAACGAAACCTCCGAATTCGAAAGCGAGATTTCGGCCGAACACCATTGTGTCCCGATATCTCGGATCACTCTGAAACATCATCAATGGCGGCAGGCCAAACTGCATCATCCACCGCCGATCGAGCTCCGGTGGGACCCACAGTGGTGCCACTCCAACCACCTCCCCCTGTGTTAGTCTCCGACTCCTTCGCCAAGGACGCCATCTTAGCCTGGTTTCGCGGCGAGTTCGCCGCCGCTAACGCCATCATTGACGCCCTCTGTGCTCATCTCTCACAACTCAACTCCGCCTCCGATTACGACTCCGTCTTCGCCGCCATCCACCGCCGCAGGCTCAACTGGATCCCCATCCTCCAGATGCAGAAGTACCACTCCATCGCCGACGTCTCCCTCGAGCTCCGCAGAGTCGCCGAGAAGAAAACGCCCTCGCCGACGACGGAGGCCGACGAAAACGCCGACAACGAGGCTGTCGAGACCGAACAGAAAACGGTGACGGAAAGTGTGGGAAATGATGAAGCTGCTGAACACGAGGAGTATGATTCCCCAGAGAGCGAGATTACTGATTCAGGTAAATCACAGAGTGAAACTCTTTTTCTTTTCTTTTTTTCCTTTCAAAGTTTCGATAATTGTTAGTTGTTAAAGCTTCGATCTTTTTTTGCTTTCCTCACATTCTATGGTTCGTTGTTAAGTAATTTGATCTTTCTTTTGTTTTTTTTAACTCTCTTACGGATTGTTGTTCTTTTCGTTTTCATTCAAAACGCAAGGTAGCAGAAGAGAAGTTCCGATTCTGTTTTTCACTGGGAATTCTCAGATTTCTTATAATTAATGGAAGAAATTTTTTTTATTTTATTTTATTGATAATAATAAAGAATTTCTCTTTTTTTTACTGAGATAAAGGACGAAACTTTACATGTATTTCTTCAAAAGAGCAAATCATTATTTGTTTATTTTTTTTCTTCCTTGATTCTTGTTTTATTAAAAAGAAAATTATTTATGTGATGTTTCCAGAAGAAATGGAAACAAGCGATATTTGCCATCAAATCCGATGTGTAAATTTTGTTTTTAGTCAAACTTCTGTTGCGCAATAATAGATTTCGTTGATCTAACATTTTGCCCGTTTTAATTTTGACTACGGTTCCATTTCATGATTTTTAGGTAAAGGAAAACCATGTTAAATTTTTTGTTTGTATTCGATGCTTTCGTTTTAATGGAAGTAGTGATGATATTAAAGTAAACAAAATTATTGCACGCAGGGCATGTGGTTCATAATTTTCTTTTTTTCTTAAATATTTAAGTAGGGTTTACAGTTTATTGAACAGCGAGGCACGAGAAAAGGTTGTTGGGGTTCGATCAGTGTTCCGGTTAGTTAGAAGCGCGACAAATACCATAAAATTAAGGTTGATGCTATAGATCTAGAAATGTGTGCAATGATTTTTTTTACAGGCAGTGGGACCATCAGAGGCGACTGCATGATGCTGTCGTTGGCGTCACTTGGGTTCGGATTCGGGTTCGGGTAGGCAGGTTTTGACAATTTGGGTGCCCATCCCGGTTGGGTGAGGGATCCGAATCCGATTAATGATTCATGATTAGGTGAATTGTAAGCAAGAAATATTAGTAATTAAATTTTTTATTATTAAATAAGATTTTATATTAAATTTACTATTAAAAGGTGGACATACGTTTTTTTTAATGACATTTTATTTAGTAATAAAAAAATGTTTTAAAATGATAATATTAGTATAGGAAGAAAAAATAGGAAAAGAAAACATGTTGGTTCAAGCAACAGAAGATAAAATTTTCTGCATTAATTGGGAACTCGGAATTTTCTCATCAAATCGGTTTTCAGAGTCTTCACACTAGCCTACCCCTTTTGGCACTATATAGTGGACTCACATTGGTGGTTGACGCCAACGAATAACGACTTTGTCGGAAGAAGACAAGTGTTTCCCAACAATCACACTGTCAAGTGTTACATTGTGAAATTTCTGTTAACATACTCATCTAATGCTGTAAACAGTAACCAGGGTTAACTAAATCATTATAATAGAAGTATAAATTAAATGGGCATAAGTGGGAGTAGCTAACGAATACGTTACCTTTCTAAGTGAAGTGCACTCAAATATCTTTTTAATTTTGTGAATTTAATGCTTAGGATGGAAATGTGATGTCTTTTACTAAGTATTAAAATTTGTATGGATTTTTATTTTTTTGGTTTCATGAGCAGGATCTCAAGAAATGCAGGCTAGTTCGATGAACATTAATATATGTTCCAATCATGAGGAATGTGAAGGACGTTCTTCACAGTTTAAGTTGACAAAAGGTTTCACAGCAAAGGAGTCGGTGAAGGGGCATATGGTAAGTTCTTTTATTTCACAAACTAAAAATACATTCTAGTACTAGTTTATGCTTTCAGAGACAACAGGCTTTTGCTGATTAACTGCTGATTGAAATTGGCAGGTGAATGTTGTGAAGGGATTGAAGTTATATGAGGATATTTTCACTGATTCAGAACTCTGCAAGCTGACAGATTTTGTGAATGAGATCCATACTGCTGGCCAGAATGGGGAACTGTCGGGTAAACTACCATTTACCTTTATATTTATTATTTCATTATACTTTCGATGTTCTTATTTGTTTGGACAATTACATCTATGGCAGCTCCAGCTTATTTGTGGTGTTATGTGATAACTTTTTTAAGTAATCGACAGCCTTTCAATTTAATTATTAATAAAATCAATATAGTAAGTACATGCAATATCAGGTTCTATAATATCCTTAATGATGAATCGAATATTCTTAGACTTATACTACTATCTCTCTTGATATTGTTGTGGCTATTTTCCATTTTCATCCATGTATTTGTTTGAACTTTCAAGTCTTTGTCGGCAATCACGTGACTTGTTTAAGCACTGATAATGACTTTTGCAAGCGTCTTATTGTCTACATTCTTTAAAATGCTAACCGAATCTTCTTTTATCCGTTTAGGTGAAACTTTTATACTATTCAACAAACAAATGAAGGGAAACAAGAGAGAGCTGATTCAGCTGGGTGTTCCAATATTTGGACAGATACAGGAGGACGCAAAAAGTGAGAAAAAAAATTATTAAAATAAATTGTGATACTATTTAATAGTTTTACTTTACCTTAACAAAAAATGTAATTTGGTTCTTTTGATTCAAGATATTGCCATAAATGAGTCTAAACAATAGACATGCTCTGTAATTATGTTTTTCATTTTTTTTATTTTTGTTTACAGCCAATATTGAGCCAATTCCAGCTCTTCTCCAAGGTGTCATTGATCACCTTATTCAATGGCATTTACTTCCAGAGTACAAAAGACCAAATGGTTGTATCATCAACTTTTTTGAAGAGGTAAATATTGCATCCTTTCCCGCTTACTTAAGTTCTACCTGGTATTAATCAAATAGGTACTATAATCATTCGTAGTGTGCAATGAAATAACCATTGAGCAATACTAAACAATTTTGTATTTTTAGGGTGAGTTTTCTCAGCCATTCCTGAAACCACCGCATCTGGATCAACCTGTGTCCACTCTTCTTCTCTCTGAATCAACTATGGCTTTTGGACGTATCCTTATGAGTGAAAATGATGGAAACTACAAGGGGCAACTCATGCTCTCATTGAAGAAGGGGTACATATTAAAGAACTTATAATCTTTGCAGTCCTAATCTTCCATTAATTAATTAAGATTCTAGTCACAATGCTGGATACAAAGGAAGAAGTACCTTCAACATTTATAGGACGGCATGTAAGTGAATAATGTGAAGTGCTAGTATTTTAGAGGATGCAACTATATGTTCATATAACACGCATATCATTGTGTTGGATTGCTTATCTGCTTTTTCTTTTTTCTCGAATAACAGACAATCTTGCAGGCACTCAAGGGATGGACAAAAACAGATTGTTTGTGTCCTGGAAATATCAATTGCTAGATTGCAGTTGAATTGACACCTAGTTTAGTTTTTCAATATTATCACAAGGGTCCCATTAGTTTTTCATACACACACACAGATACACACACACACCTTATGCAGCAGATAGTAACTTCATTACCAAAGTTGCACACACACGCACATATATATACACACACACATTACCAAAGTAGCTTCTTGTTCTAAGTTTAAGCATCATATTCTTCAATACTAATTGTCTGAGCTGCTGAGATATTCTAAAGTAATGTTAGATGTGACTGTAACATTTTACTGTGTGTCTATGGCCTCAGGCCATATTCGTTGTGTTGAGCATTTGGTTCCAACATCCTATTAAGGGCTGCATCCAGATGTACTGATAGGATTGGCACATGTAGCATAACTTTATCTCCTTTGCTATTTTATTATTGTTATTATTATTATTATTATCATCAAGAGAAAATGCATTTCTTTTGGTACGTAAAATTGTAAGGTAGGATGTGTCTTGTGCAAGGAAATTGAGCTTATCATATACGGTACTACTTATCTTTTTAAACTCATGAGTAACAACATGTAATGACGAAACACCTTTACTTTGCAGGGCTCTATTAGTGATGAGAGGAAACAGTGCTGACATGGCAAGGCATGTAATGTGTCCATCCCCTAACAGAAGGGTGAGCATCACCTTCTTTAGAGTTAGGCCAGACTCCAATCAATGCCAATCACCAACTCCTACCATGACAAGTGCCATGGCTATGTGGCAACCAGGCATTGCTAGCCCATATGCTTTGTCAAATGGTGCTCTAAGTGGCTATGAGGGTATGGACATGATGCCCAAATGGGGAATGCTTCGAAGCCCAATGGTGATGCTAACACCTATGCGTCCTATGGTATTGAACCCCCGCAAACTTGGTGGTGGTGGGACTGGGGTTTTCTTGCCATGGAATGTGCCAACTAGAAAACCTGCAAAGCATCTTCCACCACGTGCCCAAAGAGAAAGGCTTCTTGCATTACCTTCACCTGTTGAACCACACATGGGAGAGTCCACTTCCGAACCCAGCATTTGTGTTGAAGGATAAGAATCAATTTAGTTCGGACTTCTGAAGCAGCATTGGGTTCAGAGAAATGTGAATCAAGAAAGGAAGCTTTCACGCCGTCTCAGCTGTTTGCTCTTACACTTTGGAGCATTTTATTTTGTTGTACAAACCGGGCCCAATCCAGCTGCTGCCAGAGAAGTTTGGTTCATTCATTTTTATATTTATTTTTACTTTTCACCCTTTCTCCCATCCCACTTTTTTACCTCTTAGATTAGATTGATGTGGTGTTCATAACGGTTTTTTTTTTTTTATGTTTTCCAATCACGATAAGAGCTTTAGTAGAGTAGCTAAGCTTTCAAATTTGAAGAGTGTGAATTATCTCTGACGGTAGCATTTTGTAAGAGTGACATTTCATGTTAATCATCTTTTTAGACAAATCAAATCGTCACCAGGATGCATAGTTTATGATCCTCTACTTAATATGCCGTTGTTATATTGCAAGGTCTGTCTCTGTTGTGGATTGTTTTAATTATATTTTAGACTTGTGTAGATAATTGGCCATGTGTGATCTCTTAAAGATGATTAAATGTGAATTTCTTACTTGGAACTATTATGTCTGTTTCTGAATTTGCTAGATATTATCTATTGTGAATGCCCATATAAACTACACCTCGTTATAGCAGTCCAATCTTTGCATGCAGTTGAAAGGTTGGACTTTGTGGAACTTACGGGCTTATATCTTTTTCTCATTTGATTTTAGCCACTTGCTGATTTTTGAAAAGGACCGCAGAAAATTCATTGGAGTGTTATCAGACTCAGCTCCAACCGGCTAGTTGGATCTGAAACTCGGCGAACCCATCATTGGGTTTGTTTGAGTTAAGTGCTGGATCCGGCACGAATCGGACTGACTCAAAACCGGTGATCTAGTTGGGTCATGAAAATCGAGGAGTCATACATTTAAAAAAAAAAAACCAAAAACCAAAGTTGTGTCTCATCTTGTCTGAAAAAAGTGTTGAACTCCTTTCAAAAACTTTTGTAATTTTATTTGCTAGTAGCATATTCTCCTACAATGACCTCAAATTTCAATTTTGAGAACTGAAGCATTAGATCCCCAGCAACGGGCCAAATTTGAGCTGAGTTGTCGAACTCACTTAAATTACTAGGTAATAAAATTTGTAATATAAAGATAAACCTGGATCGTCTCTTAAAAAATTACAAGGGTCTAAATCGCTGATTAAAACATGAGGTTTTGTTTGAATTCAATTAAAATAAATAGTGTAAAAACAAGATTTTTAAATTAAAAGACAACCAGTCCATAATTGGGATTCTTAAGACATTCTTCATTGAATGAATAATTATCAATTTCGTGGTTGACCCTAAACAAATCAGAATCCTTGCATTTGTTTATAAACTCCTATCTAGACGATCGCCTAGTATTTGGTCGAATGCGGCGCGTCTACAATTTCGACCGCAGAGTATCAGCCAATTCAACTTGAGGTCATTGGTTTAATCAACATAACCATTAAATCTAACAGTTAATCTCTTCCCAATAACGCAATTGTGCAGCTCGAATTCGACATCCACAATCGTGTGATGTCTAGTTCGAATTGGGAAGGGAAACAAATTTGATCAAGGGAAGCGTATGTCCTCTGGATTCAAACTTGGAATCCTCAACCCTTGAGTTGATTATGGAAAGCTTAGCCTAGCATGGCTAAGATAAACATAATTAAAAATTGAAAAGAAGGAGAATTAAGAAGATGATGAAGAACAAAAACGTCAAATTGAGTTCTTGTCCAAAGTTGTCGATCATACAACTCTCAAACGAAGACTGCCGAAAAGTTTCATAAACTTGCCCTTTTAACCCACATCCAAATCGGGTAGGGCTCCACTAAATTTGGCCTATAATAATAACAATAAAACAGAAATAAAACTGCAGTAATGGCCTTGGACCTTGTATACATTAGGTTCAAACTTACAACTTAAGTCCACTTAAATAACTAAATTTTCAAAATCACGTGTCTGACTTGGGCTACAACTTCGACCATCTTCTTGTATGAATTGGGCTTTCATGTCTGCATAACATTTGTATCCCTCTTAATTATTTACAAAATGAGACAAGAATGGGATTAATCGGACACCTATAGCAAGAGTTATTATCAAAATACCGCAACAACGTAAATCTGGAATTTTAGGACAAAAACGAATTAAACCCAATAAAAAAACCTAAAATCCAATTTAGCCCAAAAGACCATTATTTTCTCACCAAATAATTCTAAAAATACTAATTAAGAGTAACAAATAAATGTAATAAAATATCAATTATCAACAGTAAATTAAGAGAAGATGACATATTGATTCCTGGGAAGAGTTGTTGGTAAATGTCTTATATTATTAAACATGGTTAATTGAGAATACTTGGTAGAATTATATATGGTTATCTGATACTTGAATTTTATTTTATCTTTGTTTATTTCTCTTACAATATATTGTATGTGGTTACTATATGGGGGCGTTTGGTAGAGGAGAAAATTTTTTCTACTTGGGAAACTCAATCACTAGGAATATAATGGCAAAGTAAGTTTTCTGGGAAAGTTAAAAAAATTGTTTGGTAGGTCAAAATAATGCCGAAAAAATTGGTTTAAGTGTCCAAATATTTGCAACCCAATTTTGGGTTTGCCCAGCAAAATCAAAATATCACCCTCTATTCTCAAGTGGTGATTTGGATACAATTTTACACACAATGTCATATTCCAATGCAAATTAGAACCGTAGGCAAATTTTTTCCAAACTCCTATCAAACATGGTCTTCTTTGAATCCCATATGCACTTTCCCAAGCAACAAAATAAAACTCCCCTACCAAACATCTCATATATGACTTTTTTTTATCCCTACAAAAATTGTATATGCTTGCAGTCCAGTATAACAATATTTTACATGTATTTGAATATTTTACGAATTTTTATGTATAAAATATAAGTTTTATATATTAACCTGGGTTATGCAGTTCAACCGATAACCCACCGATTGAATTAGTGACCCAATAACCAATACCTAAACCAGGTCAATGACCGATTCGGTTCTGATAACAACATTAATTCATTCTGTCTTGATTTGTTTATTCATCTTGTATCTATATATAGTGAGCATAAATCAAGTTTCTTAAAGGAGTGTATATTCTGATTAGAACGTACATACCTAATAAGCGGGTACCATCCAATGTATATTGAGCAAATCCATCAAAGCCAATTGTATGCTAGAAATATACACAACTATATCGGTTTTATATATTCCTTACAGCTCACCACATGTGGCAGGGTGCTGTCAGATTCACACGGGTAAAACCATGACACAGAAAAATTAGATGCTAGATCAGATTACGGTTTCTTCCAGGGTAAACTATACCATAAAGAGTAGAGAATCTGCTTCAACCATAAGAGGGAATTTCAACTACAACTCATAAAGCTGTTTGAGTAAATAGAACTCAAAATGCAACCAGAACTCACGAGACATGCTACTAGCTCTTCAACATAAGATATCTAACTTCAAAATTTAGTTAGCATTCCCAAACTATGCTCAGTGCCTGACTTTATGTATACAGAGGGTTAATTGTTCTATTATTTTATTTTATGCAATATGAAACATAGCTTGATGACATTGTTAGAGAAAACATTTCTTTAAAACAAATTAGATACTAGATGAAAAGGTTAGTCAAAATAGAACGTTATCCATGAAGGAGCTATATCCAATTGATTACGAAATGGATGGAAAATGGAATTATGGATTTGCTGGTTATCCATAATTGTTTCTAATTCGTAAGTTAAATAAGTTATCAAGTAAAAGAAAGTGCAACTGAGGCAGACGAGAGCACCTACTAAAGGGAGGAAAAAAACAGGGGATGGTAAATATATCTGATTTGAGGTCACCATATACTGATGTATAAATATCCAAAAACAATGCACAAAATAAATAAAAAGAGATATTAATATGAAAACAGTTGCTTTTCATGCGTTTTAGGTATAGAACAGATAACAATACTACTTCTATCCCAATTTACAAAAATATCAAATCAAAGGCAAATTTCTTTTTGACAAAATGAAACTTAAACGTAGATTTTTGTTAATAATCAGAACCAAATGCATCAAATTTGTCAAGCCTTAGCTGGCTCATCATCATCTTCAATGTCCCAACTCAAGTCTTCCTCTTCTTCTGCAGTACTAAGGCGCTTCCGCAAATCAACTTTGCTTGTGCTACCACTCTGAGTTGCTTTCTTTTCATCAACACTGCTAAGATCCTCAATCTCATCCCACTCAAGGTCCTCCTCCTCCTCCTCAACATTTGCTGAGTGCTGACTTTCAACCAGTGAAGATTCATTATTTTTACTAGAAGATTTGTCATCCCCAGTCTTTCTTTCCGTTATCACCTTCTCATCAGATTCAGCTGCAGAATCACTTTTGTTCACAGCATGGTCCACTTGTGACTTTGATGCTTTATCAACACCTGCCTCCTCAACAGTTTCCTTACTTCCATCAACCATCTCATCAACAGCTTCAGATTTCTCAGCTTGTGATTCCTCAACAGACTTATCCATCTTGTTTTCAAGTTCCTTACTTTGCAATAAATTGTCTCTCCTTTCTACTTTAGACTCCTCTTCGCCAGAATGCTGCACCACTTCCACATTCGATCTCTTTGTTACCCCATCATTGCTAACACCAGAGCTATCAATTTGCAACTGGGTATCTACCCCTTTTCCCATATTTTCACCACCAACCTCCTTATTGATCATAAGCTCAGGTTTACCTTCACCTTCATACTCCTTCTCATTATCATCTTCAACATCCCAACTCAACTCCTCCTCCTCCTCTTCCTTGGTCATTCTCCTCACAAGCCTAACCCTTACATCCTCAGCTTCCTTGAGCTTATAAACCTTATAATAATACCTACACCAGAAAGTTTCATGATCCACAGTGTTTGGAACAAGCCTTTTGTAAACACTCTCCATATCATCACTCTCTCTGAAAAAACCCTCCATTTCATCACTTTTCCCATCCAAGGAAAACCCTAATTTCCACTTGTTAAACTCATCCAAATCCTCAGGGCCCTCGGAGTAAGTGCTAACATCACCCTGAATGGTGCGAACATGTGCATCAAACCTACTATACCGCTTCGAATTCAAGCTCCCTTCGCTACCGTTCGTGTGCCTGCGATTGCTGCTATCCGAATCAGAATCGAGATCGACGGCGAGGATGGCGTCCTTACCTTGAGATATGATCTGAGCCGTCCCTTTGACGACGGTGTTTCCGAACTCGTCAATGGCGTGACCCACCGTCCCAAGAGAACCCTGAGCAACCTCTATCTCCTTCTTGAAACCGGTGCCGAATTCGTGCAGATCCCGACGGTAAGTCTCGATTATTGATTCCGATTTCGATGTCAAGGTTTTGATCAGGCCACCGAAGTTCCAACCGTCGGCATCGCCGGAATCGTCGCTGGTCGATCGGGGCTCCGTTGACGAGGAATCGGGACCCGGATCTTTGTTGGACCCGGATCCTGATTCAGAAGGATCTGGATCGTCCAAGAAAACGGATTTGAAGAAATTCATGAGGAAACACTCTTGAGAATTCTGACTTGCTGAGGACAGAGAGATTGGAGTAAGCAGCAAGTGAGCTAAAGGGCGCGTGGTGTTAACATTAATACATTATCTGATTTTGATTTTTGAAGTTTAAATAATGTTTAAATACTTGTGAAATGTTGTATTTATAAATATTTGATTTATAAATAACAGTTTAAAATTTTAAATAATGTGTGTATGCTCCAAAATATATAATTGAATTTGTAAGAATTTGTAAATAAATATTTATAAATATAATTCTTCTTTGAATACTTTGTTATCAAAACAATTCTAAGTTCTAAAATAAAAAGTACAATTAGCTTATACTGTTATACTTCACATATATAATCAAAAAGTAGGATATTTATATTATTTTATTATTATTATTATTATCAGTCTACTACCATTTTAATATAATTATATATTTTGGAAATTATATTAAAAAAAATATTCTTTCTTCATAAACTTTTTAGAAATTATCAACTAAAAAGTGAAATTCAATGATGATTAGAATGATAATAAAAAAAATTAATATTAAGAATATTGTACCTCTATAATTAAAGGAAAATAATAATTTTATGTTGCATAAAATTATTATCTTATGCAATAAAAATAATTTATTGAGAGCCACTACTTAAAAAAAAATAAAAAAAAAGTTGGTGCTGTTATCGAAGTGTAGGCAAGAAGCAATTGTTGTCTATTTAAAAGAAGAATAACATTGCCCATAATTAAAATTATTCCTGAAGTAAGTGATATAATAATAGTAAACTTAATAGTTAGTATCCTTTTACCAAACTGATAAATATCAAAATAAAAACTTTTCTTTGTTAGATTATACTCCACCCATTTTTAACGAATATGATATATTTGACATTTTACCAATATTGATGGGTATCAACATTGAAAGTTTTGACAACAGTCACTTCATCTCCATAAATTTGTCAACGATAAAGTATTGGATTCGAGTTACGATCAAGCACGAAATAACATGATTATAAGGTTATAAACATAATTATAGCTTTGCGTGGATAATGGATTCGAGTTAGGATCAAACACGAAATAACACGATTATAAGGTTATAAACATAATTATAGCTTTGCATGGATAATTTTTTCGAGGTAGGTTATATTTCTAAAAATTTTATTTACAAACTATATTATATATTCTGGTGAGTACATATAAATATTTGTACTCCCAAAATACATAATATAATTTATAAGAGTTTATAAACAAAAAAATTTATAAATATAATCCTTCTTAATTTTTGGCATCAATTTTATAGACAATCACTATAAATTACATGCACATATTCAATCAAAAATATAAAATGAAACGGCAAAATCTTCTAACAGCATTTGAGCTGTGGATAAAATGTACAAAATCTATCAGGTATTAAGAAAAATATTAAAATTCATAGATATCATCATTTTTCAGGGATACTTAAATTTGGACGAGGTTCATCGATCCGGCAACTAGTCACTGATGCAAATGATACCATCATCCACAACCAATCCCCAAGGAATGTACTTATTCAATCCAAAAAAAAAACCCAGAAAATATAATAACATAAAACACATAACCGACACCGCTCCAAGCATTGTACTTCCCAAAGCCCGGTCTTTCCCTTTTCTTCCACGCCAAACTTCAACAAGCTTATGCATTTGTTATTACTCCCTTCCCTTTGTGACAACACACTTTCAACCAAGTCTTATCAATCTAATTTGGCAACCTTTTCCCCCTCATCAAATTCTCAAAGGAACAAAATAGAAAATAAAATTAAAAAGAATGAAGTTTTAATTTTAACAATAGGTTATTGGTATACTTGCCTCTTTTGTTGTTTTAATTTCTTCCCTCCCCTCTCAAATTAAACTCTCACTTGATTTTTTTTATTTTTTTTATTTTATTTAATTTGCCAGCCTTCCCAATGACCCATGTGATGTGATGCTCCTTACCACCCATACCCATCCAACATCCCCATATATATTGTGTTGTGTCCATTATTCATTCTTCCAAAGAATGTGTATTTGGACGATAGAGATCATATGGTGCCCATAGATGATCAACAGAGCATGGCTTCCTTGAATCCAACCTCAACCAAGGCTTGCCTTTACCACTCCAATGAAGCAAACTAATAGGCCCAGGATGCAGGCACCTACACTTGCCTTCAAGATTGTCCCCTCCCAACCCATGTTGGTTCCACCTATGATCCACACTCTTCAATTCCCCAGCCAAAACAAGAAGAAAAGGAGGCAAAGATCCTAAATGGTATATCCTCTTTTGCTTCTGCACTGCCATCCACTGTTCCACCATTTGTGTATACTCACCTTCCCTCCATTTTTCCACATCCATTACCATAACCCCTGTGTTAAAATAGCAAGTATTCCTACCCTCAAATGTCTTTGATAGCTTCGGGTCTGACCAGAACAAATCTGTGAAGTACTCAGTGAAATTTGCATGGCAATATTCTGGTGCAGCCAATACCTTGCCCTCCAAGTCAACCTCCCAAAGCTTTGCAATGTCATCAACAACCACAATATCAGAGTCAAGGTATATCACTCTCTTCACATAACCAGGTAGTATATCAGAAAGATAGATTCTTGCATAGTTTAGAGGTTGGTCCAATGCTTGACGAATTGATTTTGAGATTTTCCCTCGCACCCTATTTGATTCAAAACGGTAGATTTTGAACTTGAGGTAAGGGAAGGTTGATCTGATGCTGAAGAACACTTGAGGCTCAAACCTTGCCCAAAGGAAATGGAACTCAACGTTTTCTGGGCATGTTGAATGTTGCAAAATGGAGAGAACAGCAGCTATGGTTCCCCTTAGGTAGTTTGAGTCCAATGTCATGGAAATGTGGATCCTTTCCTCGTTGCATGTGTTCCCATTGCGAAATTCAGGGGCTTCCCTGAAGATAGGGACATCCGGGGCAGGTTTTCGGACAACGTCGAGGTGAATGCCGGCGGTGACGGTGGTGGTGGTGGCGGCAACAACATGGCTGTGGTTGGTTAGGAATGATAATATGAAAAGCAGGAAAGACAGGAGGCCAAGGAATGGGGAGGAATATGGTGGTGGTGAGTTATTCTTCCCAAAGGCCATCCCGTCTACCTTTCTACGTTAATGTTGGAAAATGGGGTTAGTCAAGGAGCCATTGTTGTTGCGTGCGCTGTGGTTTGAGAGATTTTTTGGAGGGAGGTTAGAAATGGTTGTTGTTGTTGGTGGTGGACAGACAAAAGGAAAAAGAGGTTGGTTGGTGAGGTTAATTGTAGGGAAGAGAATGATCCTCGGAGGGAATATATAAAAAGCCTCTCTTAAATTTCTAGTACGTATCAATATCAAGCATGGTTGCCATATTTGTTGCAATTTGGTAGTACTGTCCCAAAATCTTTGTGCAAAATGAATCATCTTTATTTTTAAGAGATCTTCTATATGGTTTCCATATTTTTTGCCTATATTGGAGGGAAATGCTGTCAAATTTTGGTTAACTATTGGTGAATGATAGTTTTTCTCATTAACGATCAATGCAAGTTTTAGTTTTATTTTGAAGAAAAAAACAATCACTTATCACTTTTTTTGGTTTAGTTCCGGTTCACAATGATTTTGATTAAAATGTTTTTAAAACATGCATGAGTAAATCAAATGCTAAAATTTAAGGATCTTGTGCTTTGATCCCTGTCTTTGTTATCCTCTCCATATTTAAGGAAACCGCCCTAAACCTATTAATCATATTTTTATTTTTATTTTTAAAGATATCATAATTACCTCTTTGAGTCGACTAGGCTCTCTTAGTATCTCTATAAACTTCGACTTCCTGAGCTGACTATGAGACTAATCCGAAATATAGGGCAGATCAAGTATAAAGATTTTAAGCCCTCCCAAAAGTGGCATGTGGAAATCGAAATGAAGCTCTTTCCTTTTCAATGTTTAACTCTTATTCACCAACTCAACTATCACTATTTGCTTATTAATCATATTTCTGTTCTATCACTTTCCTCATCAAGGTTAATTTTGGTCTTTCCGGTTTCTGAAACATCATAAACTGGAAATATGTTAGTTGGGCTGCAAGTATTATTTATGACCTGCAAGTATTATTTAAACCTATTAATCATATTTATATGATCTTTCACTTTCCTCATCAAAAAGGGGCTTTTTTACCCTTATAACCCTTTATTATTAATTACTTACCGATTTGACCTTGATTATAAACTATTTCAAAAATTTAACCCCCTCAAAAAACATAACACCAATCTGCCCATGTTTGACCGTTGACCACCAAGCCTACCCGGGTACACCCCTCTCTACCCGGGTATTTTTTGAAAATTTTTGTCTACCCGGATAGGGAGGAGTGTACCCGGGTATTGTTCTTCGTACTTGAGAAATTGCTTGAATTATTTACCCGGGTAGAGAGGGGTGTACCCGGGTAAATTTCGAGAATACAGATATTACTTTGTATTCCATCTATGTGGTGCAGAACTATACATGTTGGTTTCTCACTTTGAAGCTTGTTGGACTCGCTGTGTTCCGAGATTGTCCTGGAAGCTATTCAAACAATTATATGTATATCAATAGAATGGAGCATGTAAATATAAACGAGTCAATTGTTAACACCCCTACTCACAGTGTCCCCTCGAAGAAATTTGGTCATTAACCTATCTATTAGTAACCTATCTATTTTACTATAATTAGTCATATGTGAGATTGGCATTTTGGATATGACGCTCTATAAGAAACACCAAAGATGTGCTCTTTACTTGTTCCCTCTCTCCCTTCAAGAACCTAACCATGCCCGAACACTCGTTCACCACTTCGCCAACCCATCACCGATTTCGTGGATCAAGGGTTACGCCACAAGCTTTCCTCTTCCACCTGTAGATCTGATGTTTAAGAAATTGCAAAAAGAAATTAACCCGGAAACTGAATGCAATAAAGCATCCGTGTTATACTTTACCACTCAACAGGTTATGATTATTTACCCGGGTACACCCCTATCTACCCGGGTACATAATTCAAAAAAATTTCAGATTCAAGAAATATACCCGGGTAGGGAGGAGTGTACCCGGGTAGGTAAAAAATTTCAAAATATACCCGGGTAGGTAGGGGTGTACCCGGGTAGGTAGGGGTGTACCCGGGTAGGCTTCATGGTCAACGGTCAAACAGGGGCAGATTGGTGTTATGTTTTCTGAAGAGGTTAAATTTTTGAAATAGTTTATAAATAGAATTAATTTGGTAATTAATTATTAAAAAAAAAACTATAGTGGTCAAAAAGCCTCAAAAAGGTTTGTACTAGTCCTCGTAAATCATATTAACTCCTTGACGTGATTTTTGTTTCCCATCTTGAGAAAGGGATAATCAGTTACATAAAGTAGCAAAGGGTGGGAAGCGGAGAATTCTTTGAGGTGCTTAAAATACTTGTTAAATACTATGGTTGCTTAAAATTTATCTGGATTATGTTCGCAAGTCTTACACTTGTAACTTAGGGGCGTTTGGTACAGGAGAAAAAAAAAATTTATTGAGAAAATAATTTTGCCAGAATGTAATTGGAAATATTTTATTCCGGATAAGTTACAAAAATGTGTTTGGTTGATCAAAATTTATCCCAGGAATATTTGATTAAGTTTAATGAATTGATGTTTGGTTGACTGTGAAATAGTAATAGGAATGTAGGTTATTTTACAAACATAACCCCACTTTTACTTTTTTTTCAAAATTAGTACACAAAAAGTAGGGTTAATTTGGTCAATATTATTTTAGTTGCTTTTTTACTTTTCCATGCAAAAAATTATCCCACCTAAACTTTGGGTTTTCTAACAACATAACTGTACAACAATTTACACATAGCAACAAAAATCAGGCAAGTTTTTAACCAGGGAAAGATTTGCATTTGTTGCAACCAAACATAACATTTTAATTTTCCATATGAAGTTTTCCAAGGAATTTCAATATAATCTGAGTAACAAACATCCCCTTAATGGATTCATATGGGTTGGGGAACATATTGAAGCCAAAGCTGACGTGGCAACGGATTAAGCGAACCAATTTGATCCACAAGTTTTGCGGCCCAATCAAATTCTGCAAGTCTTGAAGAAGAAGAAGAGCAAAATTACACTGCAATGGAGACAACAAAATACACTGCATGGTTGTTGATGCTGTTAGATAATTTGATTACTGGATACTTTGAGTTTCTATATGACATTGGAAATCATCGAGGAAATTATTAATACCAGCTTTGCTCTTAATTTTGATATACACGACATGCTTCGTTTGGAGTTCTGTTAAGAGAGGCTGAAAGGAGAAGCTCAAATAAAAAAGAAAAGTTAGACCTTGGCATTGCGATTTTGTGGTTATGGAGCAATTTTTATTATTCGTTTGATCTTAGCCAAAAGTATGAATTGTAGATTATGTTTTGCTTAAAAGGGATCAGTATTCAAGGGGGGGAAAGATGAAAAATTTCCTTTATGATTGTAGCAAGTTTTACATCCTGTGTTAAAAAATGTACTCATTTTAAGGCAAATTATATGGTACCTTGAAGGTTTAGCAGTGTTATTGGCCCTTGAATGATTGTTGGACGCATTTAGATCTAGTATCCAATGGTAAAAATAAAAATCTGTATGAGTACCGAAAATTGCTATACCTCCATCCCTTTTAAATAGTCTTTTGTTTGTTTATTTTTCTTTTGCATAATCATCTTGACCAAATTGTGGCACAATTTAAGAAACGGATAAAATATTCAAGTCTTTCCTGATTTAACAGTGATATAATACAAAACAATATGAAACTAACTTCTCAATTTTGAATTTCTAGTTAAGTAAATACTTTACAGCGATTGAAAATCTCAGTGATTAAATATATGTAAAACGTGACTATAAGTCATAGTTCGTCTTTTGGAGGTTCTTGATGACATTGTTCATCCCAGTAGTAGGGGAATTTCAATTTCGCTGCAGTGTGAGGCATGGACCAGTCCTCGTACACAAACCTAGTCAATGACCAAAACATTCATAATGAGTAATTAGAGTGCTAGGAGGAAAAATAAGGACAAACCATGAAAAGAAACAAAGATATTTGCATCGCTGCCCCATAATTAAAAATGTACATCCTGCCAACCGTGTAGAATAATAGAGATGCATTTCTACGCAAAAATATTTAAGAAATCAAAAAAATTTGGGTTGAATCACCAACTAACAACCGTCTCTCACCAGACACATAATAATGGTTGTATATATTTCTCTAACACTAACCAATATGGTGTACTTCAATTCAATCATTAACAGCATAAAAAGAAAAGCTTATGGATTCTTAAACAAACATCACAGTAAACCTCTTCTTTTTGCTTGACTATAGAACAGATTACACAAAGACAATGTGATATGGGCAAAAGAACGCAATTCAGTGAATCCATTTGATATGATTTCTCCATTATTGTATAAAAAACTGCCATTAACATATAAAAAGCATGAGAAGAAAACAACTTAACCTGCGGAAAATGAAAAGCCAAGGTACCATCCCCATTGTATAAAAAAACTGCCATTAATACAAGTGTTTTTGGAAATACCATCTCCTAAGTTACTCGGAAATACGAATGCTTTCACACTAATCAATACGGACAAAGAGCTTCAGCAGTTTGCCATATTTTGAAGAGCCAGGCCAAGAGTTACCACTATCAACTTACAAGTACGAAGATGAAGAGAATGGTAATAGAAGTCACATACACTTTAACCGGTGGACGAGATATTATACCAAGCACTTGTAAATCCTCGTGCCCATTGGTGTTCCAAAGCTGCAATGCAGAGTTATATAAAAATCCACAGGGAACCAGAAAACCTTGAATAAGTAATAAATAATCGAAGAAAAAGTAGGAAATGTATTAACCTATCTAAAGAAATGTACATCATTCATGGGCTAATAATACTCTCTGAAATGTTAACACAATTTTCATTTTTGTTGGGCATGTGTGACTTTTTATATTCTAAACAATCTTATGATACCCTGATTTTCATCGATTTGACACATGGGTTGGAGTATAAACAATGGAGATGGAACTAGGTAGTTCCTAATAAAATCCCAAGAGTTACTTTACTCGACCAACTTGCATTTATTTGGACATCATTTGACACAGCACACAGACCTTTACCAAAACTTGAACTCTTTCAATTAGCTCGTGTTACAGTTTACAGTTTACAACTCTACATGCTAGCCTGTTATATTATCTCAAGTAAAAGTTTCAACGTAAACCCCAACATGTGGTCTCCCTCCCTACACTAAAAGCAGAACTGTCACCAAATAATAAAGACATGCGCTATAGCTTTACTATATCAAGTTATCACTCTCTTCGTTTACTCAGCAACAATGTATCTGCATTAGTCATAGCCATACCATGTTTTACATATCCAAATTTCATATAGCATCCACAACATCTTATCTTTCCCTTTAACAAAGTTTTGATCTGTTGAAAACATATAGTTCCATACTTAATATTGATATTAAAAACGTGTCTACTTCTATTTTTTTTGAGATCAACTCATAACATATAAAAAAAGTCCATACTTGACATTCAAAATTTTATTTATTATTAGTGTGCTTAGGCATACCACATGCATCAAAAGGTGCACCTTAAACCAATCAATTATACTGGAGAAACAATTCACAAGATTGGGTTATAACTTATAAGATATAATTCTTAATTTTTTTTCCAAAAACAAATTAATGCCTGGGAAATCTCACAGTACTTATTCAAATGGCTTACCTGATGAGCATCATTAAGAGGAATATGAAATGTGCTATTTGGAAATATAAAGTGCTCCTGTGGATTTCCAGGGTATTTTCCATGTGAATTTGAAGCAAGATAAAGAGTGCCACTTCCTTTGAGAACGATGAAAACTTCTTCACAGGAATGCCTGTGAATTGGGGTGTGTGTTCCTGGTGAAAATGTTTGAAGCCATACTTCAACCTGTTCCACAAAAGTTTGGAATGTGATAATATATAAACATATTGAACTATCATTGACCACACAGATAGCTGCCAAACAAGATTGAATACACCTTAAAATGAGCAGTTTTGGACTATGAAATATTCTAGTAAAAGCCAGTCTCTTTTAACTAGAAAAAGAACAGTACAACTTCATCAACAACAAATCTTTTGTTCTGATAAACAAAAGGCATAACCATCAAGTATTACACACAATCTGCCGCTCGCCTATTTAACTCCTTTCTTCACATTTACTACTTGAAACCTATCATGTAGGACAATTTGACAGCATGTTTTCTTCAATTTAATATTCTAGTAATAACTAAAATTTATGATTGTCATGTGATATATTTTGTGTCAAATAAAATTATGAACTTGAAATATGTTTAAAGGAAAGAAATGCTCGAAAAAATTAAGTTGGATACCTCTTTCATTCCATGCAAGATTGAACCTGCAACAGTTATGTGTGAGAGACCTGCCCTACCATAGTTATCCTGAGGAATCTCACTGATATTTCTCACCAGTGGTAATCCTGCATATTTATGCAGACATCACCAGAAACATTTTAACAACTTTACTAAAGAAAAAAAAACATAGGGGAATCATCATTTGGTATGGAAAACAAACATCTGGAAGAATAAATGAAGATGAAGATCATGTGGATACGTTACAAACTTAATCTCACTGACCAGTGACCACGCTGCTCGTGATCCTTTTCACACCCAAAAAGGCTTAATAGTAACCAGGGATTCATTATCATTTGTTGTTCTGAAGAATCATATACCCATTTGCGAGAGTCCACCACAGAAGTGCATGCTATTTTTAATGATCAAAATACATAAGACACGAATAATAGATTGAAATTGAATGCTTGAATAGCAAGCACAAGTTGGTCATGATGCTGAGACCAATCATCGAACACATACTATTCACATAAAAATGAGCAACCTATTCACATAAAATGAAACAGAGATGCATTATGAAGTATTTGGTATCAGGAAAAAAAATCAGAATCCAAAAAAATTACAAAGGGAAAAAGAGCATATAAAAGACCAGAAGGCAACATAGTAAGCACAACAACTAACCGGTGACAGAGCACGGAGAAGAAGCTAGTGCGATTGCAAAAAATGGGAATAGGCTGAACAACAACGTCAGACTCACACAACATCCTCCCATCTTCTGACAATTTCCACCAACGTTGTGCACACTACAGACTACAACAGTACAATGGGACAACCACCTCTTACTTCATCCAAGGAATTTCAATTGATTGTTCTGATTTTTTTTATTTCTTAAAGGGGCGTTTGATAAGCGGAGATTCTTCAAAAATATCGAGAATTTGAATTTTTGTTAATTTTAAATTTACGGATATTATTATGAACTGAATATAAAATTTATATTTTTAAAAATTAAGATTCTCGGCTAAAATTTTTTTTTCCTGTATCACACGTGCTCTAAAACTGTTTATTATAGAATTGTTATCCAAATAGGTGTTTTCTTTATTTTTTATTTTAAATTAAAAGTTAAAATACAGAACAAAAATAATTCACTGTTTCTAAAAGTAAAAATAAAAAAAAATTATTAAAGAAGTCTTATTAAATAAGTTTTTTTTTTCTAAAAATTAAAAAATTATTTTTAAAAACAGTATTCGAACAAGGCCATCTCTAAACTCAAATCTCATTACTTACTTTTTCATATCTATTTTAAAAAATAAATAAATAACAACAATAGTTATTAACGGAGGGGTTAAGGACAAAGATATCTTGATCTTGAATTTGTCATATATTTAAAGAGATTGCGAGTCTCCTGTTGCAGGAGATTGTTCTCTTATTCAACATAGACAACACCATGTGGGCCCCATTTAAAAAAAAAATAAAAAATGGCACAAAATTTGATGGGTTTGTAGGAAAGAATATGTCTCTCTAACAACAAAGATAGACATATTCCCTTATATTTAATTGATGTAATATCATCATGTGAAGGGATTACTTATTCCAATTCAAAGTAAATGATAGTTTTTAAAGTGATTTCATGTAATTTATTTTTTTAAACATCATATATTAATTGATTAACAAATTAATAAATAATTTTTCCTAGCATTAAAAAATTATGAATCCATTAACCAATTAATATGATTATTAATAATTGTGGGTTTAGAAGATGTGAAATATCAATTTTGGAATAATATACCCATATTTTTAACCGCACTTTTGGTATATATAACATGTGAAAGGATATTGTGCCTACCTTTTTAAATGTCTATTTTATCTATTTCTCTTCAACACTACTAAATTACAATCTCAACCAATAAAAAGTCCAAATGTCGTAAAGTGAGTGCACTATAACTTCATAGGATATGGCAGCCATACTTGTCTTGTCCACATATGACTGACTTGTGATAAGTACTACATCTACTCCTTAGAATGAGGTCATTCATGAGATGTTGTGCCTCGCTCTATTGCCACAAGAGTTAGAGAGAGGTTATTTACGGATTTCATTTTTAGACCATTATTATGGTCATTGGGTAACGAACGAGGTGATCCAAAGTAGGAGCTACTATACACGCACGCATATCTATTGCACCTTATTGGTGGTTTTTTATTATGTGATAAGTCATCGAATAAGGTCATTGTATGATATGTCCACGTATTTGGATAGAATTTTAAGGATACCGCCACCTATAGTTAGGGATCAACAATACTTGTAGTCGCAAATCTTTTCAAGGAGCTATGTCAAACGAGTAACCCTACTCAAAAGGAAATGGGTGATTGCTTTAAACGGTTGCAGTTATGGGCTTGGACCTTTTCTATCTACTAATACACTACGAGCTTAACCCTTTTTTATAAACAGATTGTTATGTACCCACATATTGGATACCATTTATTGGGTGCAATTGTTTAGTCTTAGATGTTGTTGAGACCTGTAACATCGATTATAACTTTTCACATTGTGGAGTGGCACCAACCAAATAAGGTTACATGCTAGTTTGGGATGCAACATTCAATCCCAAAAGCTATTGGTAAGCTAGATGGCATATACGACCTTACCCTTCGAGGTGAGACATCTGGTACTTGGATTATTAAGCTTAAACCTTTTTTAGAGCGGTAGGAGATGTGACAAATGAGACCCTACTATGGATCCTAATGTTCCTTTTCATTATAACTAGCTCTTCATTTGGATGCTTTCAATTAATATATATGTAATGTAGAATGTCATTCTAAAATGGAGTTATATTATTGGCTACATATACAAATCTAAATAAGATGTATGAATGAATTAAATATAAAAACAGTTATAAATATTTCAATTGTCAACTAATCTTCAACCATGTTTTGATACCTAGAGACTCCTGTTGATGATGCAACTTGAGGGGAGTTATGAACATGGGTCTCCACCTATTATGGATTAGGATCACCATCATATTCACTACCTAACTGATCATCATCCTCCTCAGCAGCTAGAAGGGTGTCTTCATATTTGTCATCCTTATTGCATTTGTCATCTTCGCCAAGCATCTAGGTTGAGTCATCTTCATCCTCCTTCATTAGTCATTAGGATGAAAGATGGTAGAGGTACAAATGGTTATGCATATCTGTCATCATTAACAATATACTGTTTGTTATTAAGATTAAGTGGCTGAATTAGTAACAACAAATTCTCAACACATTCAATGTCCCAGTATAACTCAACGAACCCTTTTGTAGATCTCTTAGTGGATTGATCCTCAAATGCATCTACTATGATATCTACATTGTCATCATCATTAATCTCGATATACGAATGTATTCACCATCATTTGCGTATGATCTAGCCATCAATTGAGAAATAATTTGATATCAACTACCCTAAATTTTGTTGAATTTTCTCATTCATTCCATGATCTCATTACCACATATAATATGCATTGTTCTTTTCTCACCTTTAAACGCATACCTTGAGCTTAGATTGAAGGTGGAATGAAATTCAGAATTCTGAAGGTGATGGGATTATATAATAAAGGGGATAGGGAGTATATACTGTTAGGAATGTGGCTTCCATACTCAAGAGGGGGGTGAATTGAGTATTACAAGATTTTCGTAAAAATCCCCTTCTAGTTTCTAAATAATCATTTCAAGCAAACTTTGATATGTGAAAATCTAATCAATACATTCAAACAATCCATAATATATAATATATCACAATTATAGAACTTATTCTAGCACATACAAGATATCAAAAAAGCAATTAAAGTGCTAGAAATAAAAAGTTTAGAGTTTAGACAATTGCAAACACAATATATCCTGGTTCGGTCACACCACTTGCGACCTACGTCCAGACTGAAGCTGCTTAATCAACTCTTTCACTAATGGTCAATGTTCATGGGTGCTTGACAAACCTTTACAATCTTCCAAGACTTCGGGTTCTTGGATACCTTACAATCTCCAAGTTTACGGATACTTGGCAACCTTACAATTCACTCCAAATTTGCTTAGGTATTTGGCTACCTCTCAAACAATGGGTCTCACAACCCTTTCAACTCAAGAATACAAGGAAGGGAATATTTGGAAATGAATATACACTCCCAAAGTGTGGATATACAACTTGAAGCAGTATGAGTATATGGATTTTCAAGATATGAGCTCAAATATGTTTGATCTTTGAAAGATATGAAAAAATATGCAAATGATAATGTAGAAGCTCTCAATTCATTCTTAAGATGGGTAGGAATAGTGACCTTATCATTTTATGGTCATAAGGAATGTAATTATAGTGATTTTTAGCAAAACTAGCTGTTATAGGCTTTCTGTTGCAGGGAGAATCGATTCCTATACTTAGGGAATCGATTCCAAACCTTTTCAGGAAGAGGGAATCGATTCCCACATAATGGTAATCGATTTTCTAGTTGGGGAATCGATTCCCATGTTCAGGGAATCGATTCCCAACCTATTGGAAGGCTGGAAATTTGACAACAATAACATTTTTTTCTTCATATTTTGGGCTTAATTTGTGCTATTCTTGTCGGATTTATGTGATCTTATTCTTGCTAGAAAGATAAAAGAAAGATCTACAACTTCTATGAAGAACACAAGATCCAAATCCATCATCTTGGATACGAAAAATTGTATGGAATGCAGTAGCAAAATTATGCAACAAATTTTAAGTTCAAATATGTTCTAGCTTGCTTTCAACCACTTTTTGTGAAATATCTTGACTTGATAAATATGTTCTGAAGTTATAAAATATGTCAATGATCTTTTTCATGGGTTTTTCAAAAAAAATTCAAGTATATAAAGGTTATGATTATGCAATTCGAAAAACACGTTTACTTTGAGCTCATGCAATGCAATCTACCATATACCCTCACATAAATTCAAGTACTAGAGATATATTCTAAATATAATTTTAGACTTAGCTTCATGTCTTGTGTCTTGGATTTTTACTTGAGCTTGATGCTTTGACTTGTTGGATATGACAATGCTTGACAGTTTGTTGATTTTGATCATTTTTCACCATGGTTATGATATTGAGCTTCTCTTAGATGTTGTCTATGATTTGTTGTCTTTGATCTTGGTGTTGCTCTTCTGATTATTCCTTGTTGCTCTTGATCCAAGGATCTTGTTACTTTGATATGTCATTACTCTTCTTGTGTGACCACATCATACATCTTCAATATCCACATATGGCTGATGCTTTTTGCTCTTGATTAATATTCTTCTCTTTTTGTTGTTGCCGCTTTGTAATCATCAAAACATACATTGTATCTACATATACGAGAAGCGATAGGGATGATGCCATATGATAACATCCTGCAAGTCGCGCTTCCACCCAATGCGATACTTGGTTGGTAGGTGAATTGGATGACTATGATCAAGTCACATTGCACAATCATCCAAGATGTGTCTCATCCCATGCACGTTTAAGTGGTGCATTTACTCCATGCACATTTGTTATGTGAGATGTGCACTTATCCATGTGTGTCTTAGAAGTTAAAACACCTACCAATTCGATCGAAATTTTTTCTCATTATATCGGTAAATTATTTTGCAAAGGAATTAAATTGATATATTATTTTACAATTCACTATAAAAAGGTTCAAAAGGCAATCGAGATACATGAAAATAAAGCCTAAATGCAAGGCTTGATAACTAAAATGTACATCCTTGTGTAAACATTCCAATGAGGACTATTGTTTATGCGGACCAAACAATAGCAACGATTTCCAAGAGAATGGAATTACAACATTGAGCAGTGGGATAAGAGAAGCAAA